AATATTTTCAAATTTAATGTATATATATATATATAAGGAATAAACTAGTGATGATAGCTTATGATAGCAAACAATTAAAGAGCAATTAAATATGCATCATAGGAGTGCATATATGAATTGCTATATATACAGTAGAATAGTATCAGAGGATGAAAAGAATTTGAACTGCAGATGATAACATGTTTCTTTAAGAAGCATGTTAAAAAAGTAAACAAGTTATAATGATAGGTCTTATTCCTAGTGATATGTTCTTATTCCTGGTCTGTTTGGAAACATGATAAATAATAGTATACATCATTATTGGTTAAATATATGGTGGTCATAAAACACATAAACACACACACACAGGCATAGTAAGTGAGATCCAAGATTGTAGTTACTTCTGGGGAGAAAGAAGGAGAATTACTGTCAGGAAAATGTGAACAAGGATGCTGACTCTAATATTTTGTTTTATATGCTAAAACATATGTGGCAAATATGAAAAATATAATTTAATAAAGTTAAGCAGTAGATACTTGGGAGTTTGTCATATTCTATATCTTTCTACATTGAAAATATTTCTTAATTTAAAGTATGAATTTTACTTACATAAAAAATTAGTAGGTTTGCAATTGGAGACCTACTTATTAGCCAAAATGTTAAGTTACTGTGATAGATAAATCCAAGCAGAAAAATAAGAATGTAACAATTCCATTTATCATTTCAGACACATGAATGACCACTTCACGAATCTCTACCCTCAGATGATCAAGAAACCATCTATCATAAGTCAAGTACAGGACTTTATGAAGTATGTATAAAAACTTTCCTCTTCTCATTGTTAAGACTGTAAAGCCTAAACCTGGCACTTTAAACAGTAATTATTCCTTTGCCAGTTTCTTTTTCTATCTGTTTAGTAGGACTCTAGAGTTGCAAGGGTAGCATTTTTTGGTAATAGAATGCCAATTGGTTGTAGATATGTCTTCTAATTTTGGCTCCTTCAGAAGTCAAACTGAATGTCACATTATCAGTTGCTAGCACAGCTCAAGGAAGACATCACCAGAGTGAAGCAGACAAAATAAAGTCCTTGGATCCCCTCCACATGGATGACCTTCCTCTTCCCACAGAGAGCTTTTTCTCTCCATAGCCCTTCGAGCATAACATTCATTTTGTCATCAAGGTGCATACATGTGGTCTATAAGACCCACATTTATTCCTTAGAATATTTCCATTGATGAATTATTAATTTTAATTTTATGAGTTTTATTATATTAGATGAGTACTTAAAACAAAAAGATTGCAAAAATAAAGTATTGAGTTTTTAATATTTATTGTTTATAAAAAAGCATCAAAATTTTCAACATCGACAAGCTTATGGGTACAAAGTCTAAAAAAGAACATCAGGAATAAACTCCCATATGAACTACAATGAAAATACTAATAGTACTCTAGAAAAAAGTAATCTTTACCTCAATAATCACATCTAAGGCAGTCCGTACACATGAGAGCAGCACATTCCAGGCACACGCATTGCTTACACTGGCAGCACATGTCTTTTGTTTTCCTGGCCTTTTTGTAGGACACACTTGACATCTCAGTGGGCTTTCTGTTTTGTCAGGAGTTTCTTATTATATTATATAGTGTGCAGTTAACAGGAACATAAAATATTAATACAATAAGGTATAAAATTCTTAATGTGTATTGTGTTTAGAATAGACATCAACATTTTTTGTTGTTTTTTTTTTTTTTTTTTTTTTTTTTTTTCTCCGGTACCAGGAACCGAACTCACGACCTTGCCCTTGCCAGGCAGGCGCTTTTGCCGCTGAGCTAAATCCCCAGCCCCGACATCAACATTTTTACATCAGCTCTGTACATCTTTACAAAACCCAAAGATAACATCAGAAATAAATTCCTATATGAACTACAATGAAAACAGCAATTGAACTGTTTCACAAGAATCACACCCAAGGCAGTCTTCACACATGACAGCTGCATGTTCCATACACACATCTTGCTCACACTGACAGCATGTGTTTAGTTTTACTTTCCTATGTGGCAGTCTTGTCACCACTCTTCTTGTTTTGTTAGGAGCTGCCTACTATATTGTACAATAGGCACTAAGCAGAGAAATATGTCAGTAAAATAAAATATCAAATATGTAATGAGTGCTTAGAATAGACATCATTTTCACATCAGCTGTTTACTTGCTTACAAAACCTAAAAGATAGCATCAAAAATGAAAACCTATGTGAATTACAGTGTAAACACAAATGCCCACCGCAGAAATAAGCTTTGCTTCAACTGTCCCACCCAAGGCAGTCTTCACACGGGACAAGTGCATGTTCCATACACAAGTACTGCTTGCGCTGATGGGATGCTTTGTTTTCCTGTGCTTTCTCATAGAGCACAGTTGACATCTTTTTTGTTTTCCTGTTGTTGTTGTAGAGGGTCTTTGGGACGCTGCACTTGCCTGTGCACCTGGCAGCTCACCAGTGTGCTCCACAATCTTTTGCGTAGTTTCCTGGGTAGAAACATTTTGTTTTTTCCTCTGCTGTGAAAGATCTCTTATGAGCTCTAGTCCCAATCCTCTAAGAAAATTTCTCCATATTTTGTACTCGTTATTTTGTTTGTAAATTATCAAACTATTTATGCCACACATGTTCAGCATTGAGTAAAACACAGCCATTGGCCAATGCTTTGTGTTTCAAGTGACATCATAGTTGCCGCATAAGTCACCAACATCTACACCATGTTTGGTTTTGCTGTTGAAAGTTTCTGTCTCAGACTTCCGTTTTGTCAAGGTTTCCCATCAGTATTTCTATCATGGTGACATGCTGACATCAGGAGTACCATTTTCCTTTTCTTTGCCATATATGAGGCCAATGTTTTATCTTTCTGAAATTCAAAGATTGTACTTTATACACAATTCTCTGTTTAGTAAGGGATGTGGACCCAGGCTTGTGCGTCAAGGGTTTAAGGTGCTTTCTTTTTATGGACCTGTCCGGTAACTGGCTGGTATCAGCTATTATCTGCAGTCATAAATCTTAACATCTTTTAATCCTTCTATAGATTAAAATTCTAAATAGTACATTTGTGGGATGATGACAGGAGATTAATTTAGGAACAGAAAGAGTCTTGGTTTGACCTTCCAGATCACATACTAAGCAACCTCTTCAGAAATGCTAAAAGTCCTCCCAAGCATCAGTTAAAAACAGTGGGCTTGCTCCCATGCTGCAGGACATTGTACTGTTCTAAGATTGATCCTGCGATAGCCTGAACAAATCAGAAATAGCTTTCTATATATAAGGGTATATGAAATCATCCCTATAAAGTACAGAAAGTAGAGAGAAGAGAGAATGAAAGGGCTACTAAAAAAATCATACTTTTTTGCTGCTAAGGCAGAGACATGGAAGCAGTTATTAATAACAACTGAAATAGAATGAACCATAAGCTATGAAAATGATCTGTGAGGTAATTATAAGCATACAAACCATCATGTTCTTAGCAGGCTTTTTTTCTTCTGTTGTTCTACATTACTGTGCTTATATACAAAACGTAAAGTTAATCAACCACTTACTGAGGTGATGTGGTTTTATATGAAATGCATATGAATAGTTTGTGTTTGATTTGTTCAGGTCTTGATATCATGAGTAGGCTAATACTGCACTTGTGCTTTGGTTCTAGATAGAGCTCAGAAGAAACTACTAAAGAATATGCATAATCCTACAGAGAAACTAAAAATCATTTAAGGCTTGCCCTGAAATTCTTTGAGTGACTGGACTACTCTAAGACCGAGAATTTAAGTCTCAGCAGTCTAAATCTTTGAGTGGATAAGCTCTAAATGCCTAGTTTGATTTAGCTTTGGGTGAGCAGCCATTGAGACCAGCCTCATTTCTCTTCCAGGAAGCAGGACACGTGGACTCGGGAAAACATCAAAGCAAACAAGAATGACTCGTTTTGGAGACACACAGGCTATGTTATGTCACAACTGGATGGGCTTTATGTAGGAGCCAGGAAGAGGGCTACAGCAGAAAATATAAAGGTAATGCGGCAGGGTTTTCCTGTGAAGAGACAGGGCACGGAGGCCTTTTTTCCAGAAGCAGCTTTATTTGTGCCAGAACTAACTCAGAGGATTCATATCCAAAGGCTGAGGGCCAAACGTGGCGTAGTTGTGCCCTTTTATACAATTTTTGTGTCTCTGTCTCTCTGTATGGGCATACACTTACATTTACGGTCCGGTTGGGTAGACAGTAACATTCTAAGTCTGGTTGGGTATGATTTGATTTATGTTCCAGAGTTACATCAGAACTACACATGCTTATACATGATATTGCTACACTGTAAAAAGTTCCCAACCCGACACTTGAGAGGGGCCCTACCACAGTAAGAGTTTTAAGAAACTGCACAAAGTTTATATGGCAAGAATATTGAAAGTGGTTTTTGAAACGACATTCCAATTTAGAAGTAGATCAAACTAGGATGATAGTATATTCCTGGAGACAAACTGCTGCATTTATTGCACCATAGCACCTAACTCATTGTCAAAGAATTTAAATTCGGTCTTTCATAATACGGCGCTCAGGAAAAGCTTTAAAAGCCTGGTCTGAATATATTGGCTTTTTCATTAACCTGATAAAGATTTCAGTGCTTTGGACTATGAGCTCCCTACGGAAAAATGTCCAAGTGTACAAGTAAGTGTACAAGTTTTGTTTCCCACATTCCAAACATTCACATAAACACATACACACATTAATTTGGGGGGCAGTCTACTGAATCGTCAAGGGTTCTAAGATATTATGTGGTATACTTCCAAAATTAAAGGTATTTTTGCCTACCAGCATAATGTGTATGTTATGCGCACACATATACATATACACATGTACACAAAAGATATAAATAAAAAGTTCATAGAAAATGATACAAATAATTATTAGTAGTATGAGCTCAGCCTTGCTCATAAGATTAGAAATACAAATTAAAACCATACTGAGAAGTATTTTCTCCCGTTTGGCAAAACTTCCAGAGCATGAAAATCTACCCTGTTGGCAAGTCTATGGGAATAAAAAGGCACTCACCTAAAATACTGGCAAAATGATACTAAAAACAGGTATTTTGGTGCTTTGTGCTAAAATCATGTGCTCATCTACCTTTTGACCCAACCACCCTACTTCTCGTACTATCACAAAGGTGCACGGCAGAAATACACTGTAGCAGATGTGTGAACCTATTCATTACATGAAATTTACAGTAAGAAAGCAGCTACATGCATAAAGGCCTGCGGGCATCATTGATGTGCTGTAAACAGAACTGAGGTAGCTCTCCGTACACTGCCAGGGAGTGACCTGTAGGTTTTTTATTCAGTGTCCAAAAGCAAGATCAAGAACAGTGTGTCTCATGCGCTACTTTTACATAAGAAAGAGAACTAGAGAAGCTTGGATTGATATATTTGCTTATCTTTTTGAGAAGAAACAGCAATAAATAACAAAAAACTAAAACTAAAGAACTAAATGATAAACTACAAAGGAAGGAAGAAAAAAGTGGAGGGAAGAGGGACAGAAGCAACATTTCTCCAAATGCACATGGCTTTATAGGTTTTAGAACCATGAAAGTACCGTTGATAATTTTTAAAAACCCAATTTAATCACAAAGAAGAAAAGAAATCCCTAAAAACGGAAAACAAATATGGAACGCATTGCTTTGCCCCTCACAAAAAGCTGTTATTCCTAGGGACACCGCAACTGTTGCAGAACATCCTCAGTGGGAGCGATACTAGGGACAAGACCTACCGCCAAAAAACAAACAGCAGCACCAGCACCAGCAACAAAATTTAAAGAAATGAAACCCCTCTTAAACTGTACGCAGTAATCTCACTTTAATGATATGTAGGTATTGATATTTTGAAATTTGACAGAGAAACTTGGAAGGGTAGATATAGAAAAATAAAGCAAATAAGTGATTTTGTCAAATGATTTTCAACCCAGGAAAAAAAATGAAGTAAAGACCCTGTGGTTTTTAAACTTGAAATATGGGTAGGAAAATATTTTTAGCTTCTTTTTAAAAATACATGTTTTCTTGACTTCTTCTCTGAAAAAGACCCTCAAAATAATGAGAACCTAGTAACTACTGATCATTCTCTGGGAGAATGTGATGTAAACAATGGCTTAAAGCACAAAACACTAACCGTGAAAAAAGATTTTAAAATTCAGTTAATGACAGTGAAGAATTTATTATTACCAAAAGATACTATATAGGAAATGAAAAGTTAAGCTACAAACCTAGAGAAGATATTTCCAATTATTTAACTAACAAGGGTTTTGCATCTAAGATGCACACAGAATACTAACAAATAAATTTTAAAAATAGAATATACTCAATAGAAAAAAACGAACAAAAAGTGTTAACAGAAATTTTATGTATGGTGGCCCATGAATATGAAGAAATCTTTAATGTCAAGGAAATGCATATTAGAACCTCAAAGAGATTCTATTTCGGGGGCTGGGGATTTAGCTCAGCGGCAAAGCGCTTGCCTGGCAAGCGCAAGGTCGTGAGATGGGTTCCCGGTACTGGAGAAAAACCAAAACAAAAAAAGCAAGAGATTCTGTTTCGCAGCACAATTGGGAATCTTCAATCACTCTGAAGGGAGTAAATTATTACAATCACTCTGGGAAAGAGATGCGAATTACATGTAATATTATAAAATAACATGTATTCTGCAAACCAGCAATTCCACTCAGAGACATGCTCGTACATGGACTCCGTGGACATAAAACTTCACAATAGTATTTGTCTTAACAAATGTATACGGCATTTTAAAAGTTCTAGAGGTATACACAAGAAACACATAAAAAATGGTAACATGGAGAAGTAGCAGGCAAATGCAGAACAAGAGGAGAGAAGGCTGACTACCTACTAAAGACCTTCTTATAAATTTTTAAATCTTGAATGATGAATATATTACTTATCCAAAAACCAAGGGAACATTTACATAAGTAAATTATTGGGCAGGGTTTTTTGCTTTTGTTTTTGGTTTTTGCTTAAAATGTCATTTCTAGGCGTCTCCCCACTACTTCTACTAAAAATCAGTTTATAGAAGCCCATCCCCAGGGTACTCCAGTGAGTTGCACCTTATTAGAGCGGAGTTAGCGCAAAGCTCGTGTTCAAATATCATCTGACAGTTACTTGAGGGCTGATGCACACAATCAAAATCAGAAGCATCTTAGATGAATATTTTGCTGTAAAACTTGCTTGCTGGGGTGATTTCCCCAGCAGTGTCTGGAGGAAACAGTTTTAGTTGCCCAAACTGGAAGTTTGCTACTGATTCTGCAGGTTAGAGGCCAGGGGTGCTACTAAACCCCTCACAGTGCACAGTGCCCCCAAAGAAAGAATTGTCTGGCTCAAAATGTCAATAATATCAAGCTTGAAAAACCTTAGTGTGGAGGAGCACAAATAGAAAAATCTAGGGCTGGGGATTCAGCTCAGTGGCACAGCGCCTGCCTGGCAAGCTTGAGGTTGTGAGTTCAACTCCCGGTACTGGAAAAAAAAAAAGAAAAAAGAAAAATCTGCTTGCCTGGCAAGCACAAGGTCCTGTGTTCAATTCCCAGTACAAAAAAAAAAAAAAAACCAGAAAAATCTAGTTTATTCTCTAAGGAGTCGCTTCCAGAATCTGTGGTTATCAACATGTACTGAGGCATCTCTTCTCAATTATAAAAAGCTATAAAAATTGTGTTGTAAGGTACAATAAAATCTAGCACATGTGTTTCAGTAAAGAAGCCTCACTCAAAAATAATTTAATGGAACCTTAACAAGAGAAAACCTAGAAAATGATCTGTGTCACGAATGAACACTTAGTGCAGTCTGTGTCCTTTCCCCAGCCCATGAGCATGTTTCAGATTCAGTTTCTGAATGCGGTTGGAGACCTGCTGGATCTGATTCCCTCTTTCTCTTCCACAAAAGACACTAGCACGAAGTTCTTTAAGAGATGGGACATGGGACATTGCTCTGCTCTTATTAAGGTAAGACGCTCGTAATAGCTCCTCTCTGCTTTCTGGTGCACACAGAGTCTTTGTATTGGTCAAGCAAGTGTGGCAACACCCTATCACCCCTGCCTCTGGCTGTGCGTCAGCTCATGAGTTCATCTGTGGTTGAAGTAAGTCCTGGAACAAACGTTAATAGAAGGAACTGGAAGAACACAATGTCACCCGTATTTCTTCTGTCATTCCTCTATGTTGCTCATACCTACCACTCTCCCTTTTTAGAATCTTCCATTCTGCATGGCAGAAGAACAGAGTCTATTTTGTGGACATTAAAGGTTAATATTGGACCCCTTAGTCTTATTTTCCAATAAGAAAGATAGCAAAAAAAAAAAAAAATACCTGAATGAATCCAATGTTCCCTCCATATAATATTGCAGTCAGCCTTCTCTGTGTCTCTGTGTCATTCACTGTGATTCTGGCTACAGGTTCTTCCTGGATTTGAGAACATCTATTTTGGTCACTCAAGCTGGTACACATACGCAGCCATGCTCAGGATATACAAACACTGGGACTTCAACATCAAAGATGAAGACACCAGCAGTAGCCGCCTCTCTTTCAGCAGTTACCCAGGTAACTAAATTTAGAGGAACACCTCGGTACTTTTTCAAGTCAAAATCTTGATGACTCAGAGTTAACTTGACAAGGATGAAGACATGTCTTGCAGTTAGTGTACAGTTTGACTTTTAGAGTGCCTTTTGGAGAAATATAGCTCTAATAAGTTTATTTAATAGAATGACATCAACTAGGTTAATAGATTTGTTGAGTAGAAAATACTCTGTACATGTAAATGGATGCATCTAAATTCGCTTCAACAAAGGCTGCAAGATGCTTTCCCAGGCTCTGCAGCAGGAGCAAAAGAGGAGCATGACAGAGTGGTTTCCAGGGTGCTGTGCTCCACTCCTCCTATTCACTGCAATATTCTCAGTGTTGCAGAAAAACTAATATCAAAGGGAACACTCCGCACAGAGGAGCTGGATGGCAACTTTTATTATGCTAGCGGACTGGTGGGAATCAGTTCCAAATCACCAGACCACAAATTAGCTTAGAGTTCAGTTTAAATACAGCTTGCAAGCAGAAAGTACAGGGATGATGGAAGGGTATTATATGATTAGTTACATGCATTGAGTCATATGTTGTCAAGCAAACAGATTTGCTGAAAAGGAATTGTTTGTCATAAGGTAGGAACATTCTGGGAAGGAGAGGAAGGGGTATGAGTGGGGCAAGTAGAATTAAACGGGTCCTTGACTGGGCCGGTCTGACCCAGACATGAAGTCCTTGAAGCAAGTTGGAAACAATATATATTTTTCCAACTAAGGAAAAACACAAGCTGGACACAGTCAAGTTGGCCCAGTGCATTATCAGAGAGAAGCAGCTGGATGCAGACAGTCAGGGCTGACTGAACTTAGCAGGTCATAGGCCATTAATTGATTTTTAACTTTTGCTATAAAATATCTACAAGTTTGCTATTTTATAACCACACCCTTCCAGCAGCACTTAACCTAGTGTGTGGCACCTAGCACTTAGTACATTTTTGCTAAGTCAGTGGATGAATGCTGTGTGGGTTTATAATCCTTTCTCCATAGTCTGGAAGGTCTCTACAATGCAGGTGAGATAATATTACGAAGACCGTATAAGCTTCAAAAATGTAACAAATATTATGAGTATTCCAAGGTACTATGATCAACCCATGTTCAAGAAAAAATAAAGGTCCATCTCTTAAAGAAGATAGTATCAAAGGATTTGTAGAAATTTAAAAACCACCACAGAATAGAAAGATTTTTATATATTTATTACCTTGAGACTTTGCTAAATTAACTTATTAATTCTAGTGGTTTTTTTGCAGATTCCTTGAGATTTTTTTATACTTACACTAATGTCATGTCTGAATAAAGAAAGCTTTTTTCCTTCCTTTTTTAGTATAAGCTTTGATGACTTTGTTCTGATTGCAGTGGTACTTTCAGGACGATGTAGATTGCAAGTAGCTAGCTTGGGAATCATTGCCACATTCCTGACCTTAGGAGAAAAGGGTTCAGTTTCAGCTTTAAGTATGGTATTAGTGTAGCTTCTTGTAGATGCCCATTATATGTCAAGGAAGACCCATTCTCGTCATACTTTGCTTAACATTTTTATCAATAAGTGGTTGTTGCATTTTGCCAAACCTTCGGCATCTATTGAAAGGAGCTCATGATTTTCTCCGTTAATATGGTGTTACACTGGTTGATTTTCAGATACGTATTAAACTAATTTGGCATTCCTGGGTTAACCCGCACTTTGTCATGAGGTATTATTCTTTTTTTTGTTTGTTTTTGTGATTCTGTTTACTATTTTGTTGAGGATTTTTTTCATCTACATTTATATGAGGTATTGGGTATTGGTCTGTAGTGGTCTGTAGGGTTTTATTTTTCCTTATGATGGTTTTGGTATTGGAATAAGTTTATACCTGAATATGGAATTATTTCTTTTAAGTTTTCTGACTGGTATTGTCACTCCTCTCAGTTTTTGTTCTGTTTTGGTCTGTAGTACTGGGGATTGAATGCAAGGTCTCATTTGCAGTAGGCATGGTAGGCAAGCCTACCACTGAGCTATATACCCAACCCTTTTTTGTTTTATTTTGAAACAAGGCCTCACTGTGTTGCCCCGTCTATCCTCAAACTTGTGATCTTTCTGTTTCAACCTCATGTGTAGTTGAGACTACAGACATTTACCCCCCACTTCTCAATTTATTTTCTCCTTTAAGTGTTTAATAGAAATCACCAGTGAAGCCTCTAGACATGGAGTTTTATTAATTGGAAAGTTCTTCATTAGAAATGCAAATTCTTCATTAATATAGGATCTAGTTTTCTAATTCTTAAATCAGTTTTGAAAATTTGTCTTTCTAGGAATTTGTCCAATTAGTCTAAACTATGTTTTGTTTTGTATTTGTAACATGAAGTTATTTAATTTTTCTTAACCTCTTATTGTGTATAAGGTCTATAATTGAGTCCTCTCTTATTATTCATGATAAAGGATGTCTCCATCCTTCTTTCTTGATCATTCCAGCTAGAACTATATTAATTTTACTTCTAAGAATGAGACTTTGGTTCCAATGATTTGTTTCCTATTATTTTTAAATTTTCTTTCTTCATTCATTTCTATTTTTATCATTATTTTTCTTCTATTTACTTTGCATTTAATTTGCACTTTTTAGCTCTGAAAGTGGAAGCTTAGACAATTAATTTGAGCTTCCTGGTAAAATAAATGAAACTATAAACTTTTAAATTTTAATGTTTTTTTCATTCAATTTAGAATATTGTCAAATTTTCCACATCATTTCTCTGATATATTGGCTATTTTGAAAGGTATTATTTAACTTCTGAAAAAATTGGAGGTTTTTCAGATGTGTTTCTGTCATTATTTTCTAATTTAATTTCCTTTTCTAATTCATTGCATTGTGATCAGAGGGCATACTCTGTATAATTTCCAACATTTTAAACTGTGAGACCTATTTTATGGCCCAGGATAGGTTCGTCTTAGCGAATATTCCATTTGTAGAGGTATAAAATTAATTTCTGGGTATTGTGTTCTATAAATAACAGTCAGATCAAGTTCATTAATAGTGTAGCACAAGTCTTTTATATCCTTAATTATTTCCTCTCTAGTTGTTCTGTCAGTTAGTGAAAGAAGAAAGTTTACACTCATGCTATAATTGTTAATTTATCTACTTCTCATTTTATTTCTAAAAGTTTTGCTTCATGCATTTTGATGCTGTCATTCTTTATTTGTATAAGTATCATATATTCCTTTTAAAAATATTGAACCTTTTTCTCTAGTATAACTTTGGTTTAAAATCTAGATTGTCTGGTATTAATATAGTCACCCCAGCATTCTTTTTTTATTTTAATTTTAAACACTTATTAGTACATGTCTGTAGTACATAACAATGACATTCAGTGTGGGTAATTGGTACATGTACATACCACATCTCAATTTTTTCCTGCTTTCTCACCACCCCACACTGCACCCCACACTTATGCTTACTGTTTGCATCTTGAACTTTCTCTAACCATTTACTTTCAACCTATTTCTTTGTGTATTTTCTTGTAGACTGCAAATAAGTAGTCTTTTTTATGTCAAGTGCTTTAGTGATGAAATTTAATATAAGTAAGTTTTCAAACATATTTTTCAATATATTAATTCTTAAAGTCTTTTCAGGCAAGGTGCTATTTTGTAAAAACCACTGTTAGGTTTGTCCACAGATGTAATTTTAATGTTGAAGGAAACTTTGATGTTGAATACAGCTTTACATAACGAAAAATTATAATAACTTTACTTCTCAAAGCAAATTATACAATTTGAAAGAGAGCCTTCAAACTTGTAAACTAAGCATTCTGACACAAATGCATAAATTTAAGTTGCTAACATTAAAGGAAAGTCACATGTCTATTTTGAGATGTGTAGCTTGATGTGGAGCAAAGTTCTGATCTTGACTCAAAGTACTCAGAGAGTAGTTGAGCAATTCTCTGTTTTGGGGTCTGAAAACTACCCACAAAAACTTTTCCAACCAAATAGATTAACAGAGAATTCCCTTTCTTACATAAAACTTCCTGGACCACACACCAAATACCAGCTGGAAAGACTCAGGCTCTGGTTTTTCTGAACCCACCCTATCTGGACTAGGGAGGAGCAATCAGTCTTGGTTCTTGTGTGCAGTGTTGTCAATGTTACATATACTCACATCTCAGGAAAACAATCAAGGTTTGATCTCATAGCTTTACCTAATATTCACATTCTACTATCCCACCCTAGTTGAAAATGTGTTTGTGTGTTTTATGGCTTCTTGCTTCCAAAATGCACAATTTAATATGAAAAATTAAATTACTATATCTCTTTACCACTAATGAAATGGTTTACAAAATTCCATTTCCCATGTTACCCTCCTCCTCTTCCTGTACTTCCTCCTCCTCCTCCTTCTTGTTCTTCTTTCAAGTCACACTTGACAATCTCCATCTTTTGATGGAAGTGTTTGATCCATTTACACTTAATATAAATATATATATTTGGATTTAAATCTGCCGTTTTGCTATTTAGTTTTTTTTTTCCTTTTCATGTTTTCCTTTTCCTGTTTTCCTGTCTTTTGTGTTAAAGATACAATAGTCTTTAAAAAAACTGTCTTTTAATGCCTTGGTTGGTTTTCTAGCTATGTTTCTTCACTTTGTTTTGTTGTTGCTTGCTGTTGGGATTGTAATATGCATCTTTAACTTATCACATTTAACATAAAGTTAATTATTATGTCTACTGAAAAATACAAATATCTTGCAATGGTAATAGTCCTATTTGCTGTTCCTCCTCTTCTTTATGCTATTGTTGTCAAACATATATACATGATAGATAGATAGATAGATAGATAGATAGATAGATGATAGATAATAAACCCACCAACATAGTGCTATAATTTTATTTAAACATTTTTTTCTTCTAAGCATATTAGAATGATAAATATGTTCTATATATACATCAGTCATATATGTGAAGTATTTGACTTCATGACTGATAATTTTTGTTTTCTTTGTGTTCATTCTACTTTGGGGTTT